CAATACATGACTCTGTGTGAAAACTGCACTCTGATGAAAACAAGGCAGAAAAATTTGAGGTAATCGCGTTAGGTATTATACATCAAATACAGTTAAAAAATATTAAACTTTAAGACTTTTAGAAATTAATAAATCATTTCATATATTCAGTTCGTTTCGTATTTAAAAATATCCTCACCTTTGAAATTGTTTAAGACTGTGCTTTTGCGCGGTGCATAGGGACCGTAGGAAAAATACAACAAAAATATATTCAAAAATTTTAGTTAGTAGCCATAGCAAACGGTTTTTCACATATTAAGGACACATACGCAAGGATGGAAACCTGTTTCATGCGGTGAAGAGGGACCGTTTAAAAGGAGTTTGCCTTGGAAAACATGCCCAGTTTTACAAAATAGCGATCTCTCCCTCTCTCTCTCTCCCTCTTTCTTTCGCTCTCTCTCTCTCCCCACTCTGTCTTTCTTTCTTTCTTTCTATCCCTAGCATGTCGTGAAGAAAGTTGCACAAAATAAATCGCACAACAAAATAAGTCGCACAAAACCAATCGCAGAAACAAAAAATTCACAAATAAATCGCACAAACAAAAAAGTCGCACAAAACTAATCGCACGAATAAAAAGCGACTTTTTTATGCTTTCGCATAGAAATCGGTCCATCTATACTAGGCTCAGTACTTATTGGAGTACTTAATATTAAAAATCTTCGGCACATTTTTTTTATTATATTTTTTTCATTTTCTTGCGAGAGGAAATTAAATTACGAACATCAACAGCGTTAAGAGACATATAATTAACACTTTTACTTTATACAGTTTGTTTCTGTTTTTCGGGAATGAATAATACTGGCAGACAATGTGCTTACCTTTTAATCGTACAAAACTCAGTGTAGTTTGAAAAAAGATTTACCTTCTAATTCTATTCATTTATTAAACTCTCTGCAGAAGACTTATGACTCAGTAAAATACTTACCATGAAGCGAGCTACAGAACTCTCTGTTAGGCTGGGGTTAACTAATTTTTATAATAACTTAGAATATTATATACCTATAATAACTTATTGAAAAATAATTTTTCATACTTTTTGACAAAAATGTAGACAGTTTTTCTAAAGATTTCATGCAGTACAATTGGACCTTACGTACGCTTCATCTAACATCGAAAGATAATCATAGACTAATGTTGGCATTTCTCGGTTCAATCATCACCTGCCTGTCTATGAGCGTGGCTTTGTAAACCCGAAAATTGCTAAAACTGACAGAGAGCAACAAAGTACGGCCCACATATTGTTGGAGGAACACTTCGAAAGTGACCGTGAAATCGATAGCCAATATGAAAATTACTCCTCAAATAGTGTAGAAGTAGTGAAAGACAATTCGAATGCAAGTGAGAGTTGTGGACAAACTCTGACGATACCAGCGAAGAAAATCATGAAAAGGAAAATATTGACGCTGCTACTAATGGCACAGGTGGGAAAAAAATCAAAGAAGGTTTTCCTCATGACCGATTAACTCTTCATGCTATCGTCAAAGGTATATCTCGTCCGGCTTGACATAGCAAAGAAAATATTATAAAGGGTGAGGCAATTCATAAAAATCGTGGTACAAACCGATGATTCTCAATGCCCGACTATCATACAGTACATTCTAGCTAAGGCGCGAATCGATATGAATACAATCTAGTTTCTAGGCAAGGAAAATATGTAAGCACTTTTCAACAAAGTTGAAGTGCAGGGTGTGCACGAGGGACGCACTTCATCCTAGCAAGCGTTAAGCAGCCTATATTTTTTATAGTTGTTTGCAACAATAGTTACTATAAGTCGACTATAACCATCCCACTTAAAAAAGGAGCCTAACAATTGTGTACAAAGATCAATCATCTCTCTGGACGAATCTTTACTTATTCTCGCTTTTTTTGCTTATGCTTTGATTGCCAACAAATACTTAATAACTTCCTCAAAATAAAACCGCATAATGAGTCGCATATATTAAGTTGTCTAAATAATTTCTATAAAAGTATTTATGTATACAACACTTCCATATAGGTGCAGACAAGCTCAATATACATTTTACAGGTAATCATGCTGAGCACACACTTCAATCAATTATTACAAGTAATCCATCACGCAGACACTTAATATGTCAAAATCGCACGATAAGCGACTGCTTAAGATCAAGAGAATCTAGAATAGCATCGTAAGTGCAAAGCGAAACATTACAAAGCATTTTTTGTTTTCTTGCAAAAAAAAAAACAACCGTATCGACAAGAAAGATCAACAATTATAGAAAACAAAAAAAAAATTGCGGAGAAGAATATGATATTAATATGTAATTGAGGAGATTTTGTAGCGATTTAGCTAAGTGATGGTTTTTCGACGATTTTTTAATGTCAAGAACGTAACTTTAGTAAAAATATGAGTTTTAATTGAATAAATATTTTTATTAAATTGAATTCCTGCATTTAATAGAAAAAATTTATTAATAAATTTTTAACTAACATGCGAGGTAATCAGTATATCTTCAAGTTTACTGATGATCATCCGATGATCATTTTGATCATATCAAAGTTACAGTGCAATGGCAGCCAAATTAAATAATAAATAATAGCAGTTTATATAGAAAGTATTAAGCCTTTTATTCATCATAAAGAAAAATTTGGTATTACAAACATAAGGATATATATGTCGATTGATTGCCCGCCATAGTATTTAATAAAGATTCGAGTCAGACAAATCTCCCCTGCAACTCCGTAAGCCAAGTCGGTCCACAAAGAAGGTAAGCACGGCGCCCCCAACGATTATATAAGCAAAACGGCACGCTTGAAGTGAAGAGATACAAAACCAAAACTCACAGTGATCTCTTAAGAAGTTTTTGCTTATAGTGGCAGGCGGATTGCATTGCCAGCTTCAAAATAGGTGCGACAATGAACAACAATGACGGCAATGGTACCCAACCAAACACAAAAGTGACCGCTTGCAAAGCATTCATGCAGTGCTTTTAGCAGCATTCGATTACATTATATACTCAGAGGTTTCGTCGCTAGGTTGCACCTATAGGATCGAAGATTAGCAATTTGAGAAATACATGAGAAATACGCTGAAAAAGAAGAAGCGGCATCAAACCTCATCGTGATACCTAAGAAGTTTATGCCGTGCGCTCGTTCATCCCCGATATTAAAATCTTCGTGTCTGTCGTATTTCAAAAGCAACAAACGAATATTGTCAGCAGGAAATGTTTCGTGTATCGCATCCGTAACTTTATTATGCAGAACTTGCATCAACAAATATACTTTCACTTATCTTTTCAAGGTCTTTTTTATTCTTCTATAATAAACTTTGGTTCACTTCGCAGCTCGTAAAGAAACTGTCAGAGGCGATACTGTGATTACTGTTTTGAAATGATGTCCATAGGTCTGTTCCAAACTTTGGGCCAAGATATGGGCTTCCGCTGTGACTGTTAGCCTATGGTGTATAGAACAAAAAAAAGGGGGCGGATTAAGATTGAAGAAATGTGACCTATTGTAAAGAGATCTGTAGGGATGAACGCTTTTATACCCTACATCGCTTGTGATATAAGCGCACATTAAGTTTATGCAAATTTATACAACACCTAGAAGGACTTGAGATTTTGTCGGGTTATTCGTTGTGATGTTTTATCATACCCATCGATTCAAAGAATTTTTCAAAGTTTGTCTGTTTGTCTGTTCCTCTGTCCATTAGCGTTCTCGTGTTCAACATACAGCTCGCAAACTGTTGACATATTTTAATAAAATTTGGTGCACCGAGCCAGGAGCTCATCGAACAAAATGATGTGCATTTTCTTGCAGCAATATGGCTAAATACTTTTTAGATAACTTGTAGTTAAGAACAATATTATTACGTTCATTGCATAGCAAATAAATATTCAACTATAGCAACCACTATAGCTTATATGTGTTCTCATCTTGTAAATGAAATCAATAAACAGACTACCGTTGAAATTCTTTGGGAATAAATAACAAAATGAAATTTATATGCAAGCACACTTGTGTGTGTTTGTGCGTATGGGTTTGCAATAAAGCAGAATGCAATCCGCGTACATGTATGTAAAATACATAAATTAACATCGGGTCGATACAATGCTGGCAATATATATGTACGCTAACGTTACTAACGGCAAAGGCCAATATGCAATGCAGTGCAATGCAATGCCCAATACACAGAAACCGAAACTTGTACACAACAACAGCAACAGCAACAACAGCAACAGCAACAACAATAACAGCAACAACAACAACAACAACAAAAAGAAAGATAACGATAATGACAAAGATGCCAAGCCATAGAATATTTGATGAACTTTTGTTTCACATAAAGCCATTGCACACCGTCACCAACCTCCACCGCCGCACGATGATCAACGTTAGACATCAGCATTGCCACCAAAACAAACTTTAAAATCAGATCGCCTGCTTATAGACGCAGTTGCGCGCAGTTGCATGCGCAACGCCCAATTTTTTTATTGCGGTCTTAACAGACTCACCTACAAGAAATATTACATATTATTGCTCATACGCTCAGTCAGACGTAAGTCTAGTTATCTGTAAACCGTGTGTTACTTAAGACTATCCGCAGTAATGCTAGTAGTAGTAGTAGTAGTCTGCTTGCATTCTAAGCTGGTTTTATAAAACTCTCAGTGCAATCACAAGTATATGTTCGTATTTAAAATTCATTCATTCGTTTAGCTGGTTCGCGTTTGCACTCTCGCTTTCTCAAGTCACATTTGATAGGCGCGCACGTTTTCCATATACAATTACACGTCTCATTGAGTTAGATCTCAACTCATCTCTTGTATGCTGACTTTTTCAGCATAGGGCCCTAACTAACAACTACAGTTGATGTTGCCGCTGTCGTTTTTGCTCGCTGCATACTGTTTGCATTTGTCTTACATTGTTTCATATTTTGCTTATTTCAATTCTGCCAGACTTTATGGTATAAAAACGTTTGAGTTTTCTTATTTAGCATCAAAACCTTACCAATAAGCCTTCTAACGAAGATATCGAAAACACTAAAAACGTATTCTTCTGTTTTTGCTAAAAATAAAATAAAAAAAAACAACAACAAAAAAGTCGTCGTTTTTATTCTAAATACAAAGAAATAACATAAAAAACAAAAGACTTTATTACATCCCTGCAAAGGATATTTGGTGTTGAGTGTGTGTGATATTTAGGAAAATAAATTACAAATACAATCAAAGTGAGTGCCAGGAAATATTGATATTTTTCGATTCAAAAGAAATAAACTGAAGTGCGACAATAAAAATTTCAAAAAAAAAACTATAGATAAAAAAACATAAACAAATAATTGGAGGTTGAGCTTATAAAACGAAAAAAAAAAACTTTTTCGAAAAATTTGTCTTTTTCTACGAACCAACTCAGAAAAGCACAGTCCTGTTACTCGTTTGTCCTTAGTAAGCTGATGATCTCGTTGTTCCTAATCTTTTCAGATTAAGAAGTAGAATTACATAACTAGTTACACACTAGTTAGAGGCTGTAACTGACTGTGACCACTTTCTGCCTCTCTATCCTTCTCTCCCCGCACTTCTTTCTAACCGTCTCCGTCTTATACAAAGGACACATCCCCCGAGTGATTGGTCTTTTACAATAAAAAAAAAAAAAAATGAAAGGAAAGCATCCCTGAAAAGATTACAAATTTTCTTCTTTTTTTGTGTCGTCAGAAGAATTGATCACTTTTGATAAGCAAACTGTAAATATCTTGAGCACTTGTGGAAAAAGGCTTAGACGCGAAATGAGTTTTGAACATGGACAAATATAAATCATTGCCTACAAAGGCTTTCTTAAAGGCTAGTCCTTGAGCATCTTGTCGATTTAAATTTCTTTTCTTGCTGCGTTTCGAGCAAAGCAACATTTAACTGCTTCTTCGGGACTCCACACAAGTCCTCCCTTTCTCTAAAAAACCCAAAAAAAAAAAAAAAAAACAAAATGTAATTTAATTTAATTTATTCAATCGAATATCTGTCGACGCAACGAAATGGATTTCAAACTCAAAGACATTTATTGCAGAGCCTATCGAACAAAGTGATCAATCTCTTTTGGAAAAGATCATTCATTAAATAATACAAGTAATATTACAGTGACGATACGAGGTAGTCCCAAACGTTAATGTATGTAAATTAAATAAAAGGCAAGCTTTGGTGTTTTCCCTTTGCAAAGAAGCAGTGTAAAGAAGAGTGTTATATGAAATTTGTGAAACAATTAAAATTCAAAAGGAATTTCACATGCTTTTATAAGAAAAGAGCTCGAGAAGAGAAGAATAAGCAGAGAGGAGAAAAAGCAGACAGATGGGCAGGCTGACAGGAATCCAGCCGGGCAGAGAGAAACCCAATAAAATCATGGGGCGATAAAAAGACAAACCAACCAAAAAGTCAAAAGACAAAAACGTGCAATAGAAATATGGGTGGACAGAAAAATGGATAGAAAGAGCGCACAGGTAAAAGCACGAACTGGCAAAAGAACAACGATTTAGATGGGCTGACAAAAAAACGGTCACATAAAAGGAAAAAGAAGAGAGCAGAATGGATGACGTGCAAGACGCGACGTACAAACGAAACGTTGAGGGAGGCAAACATTTCAGCGGACCGAAGGTCAAGCGAAATTAACCACAATCGCACATAAAGACAAGTTAGAAGAACGAGAGGCCAGCAACCATTGACAGACGAACGCGCATACGACTTAACTGTCTGCCAAGTTCGTTTGCGAATTCAAAACGAAAATATAGAGACCAAGAAAGACTTGGCGGGACAGACCTATGACCACGAAACTACTCTGAAAATGTTCAATATTTTACCTTCTTCGCGCAAAAATATGCTCTTTTCTTAAGCGATCGGTAATAAAAAGAGAGCGAGAGCTAAATGGAAAAAAGTTATAAAATCGTTGAATACTTTTTAGCCTTGAATTGCTTTATTCGTCCACTTTCATGAAATAAGATAAACACACACACACAATATATTATTTTGTAGTACCGTAAGCACTAATACACACAGCATGTTAACTTGATTTACTCGCAAGTTTGCGCAAATGTGTTACTATCTTCTAATCTTTCATCAAGGGGCTGAGAATATATCAACCACACAATATAATTACCTATCGCAAACATTTAATTTCATTAGTTGCACATTGACTCCTTTCCTGCCACTAACTCCTTAATTCATTTACAAAAAAAGGCACGAAGAGCAACCATGTGTATCGATCAAACATACAGGCTGCATACACGATTATTGAAATTAATCAAATCTAAAAATGCTGCGTACAAATAGACTCAAATTGATAATCTCCTCGCTATTAGCACCAGAAATATCGAGTACGTCCTTTGAATCCATTTTAATATTCCATCATCAAAAAAATAGTTCTCATCCAAAATATTTTTGATAAATTTTTTTGCATGAAAAGTTCTTATGTGGTTTATGCATCAAGGTATGTTGCTGGCAAAATTTCTCTTTTCCATCTTAAATGTCTCAAATAAAAACCGATGACAAAGTTCGTATAGATCATAGAAGAAACGAAATTAGTTAAGTTAAGTATTCTACAAGGAATTCATTTTCATACTTCCCTTACAAGTTTTGAAAAATTTTTGTTTCTCTCTTGGAAAAAAGCATTGTTCCCATTATGAACATGATCGAGCATTTTTGTCAATCTTTCAGGAACTGGTTGCCGCCTTACTTAAGCAAATGTTAGGACTGTACTTACTTACTTAAAGAATCTAACAGCAATTTTGTGATTCGGTGACAATGAAAGGAATTTGCCATCAAGAGTCTTCTAATGTTTAAGGTCATGCCTTTAATAAAAGATAAAAGTCACAGTCACTAAAACTTTTATGAGGTCATTAAATTCACTTGGATTTATTAAGCAAAGTGAAACACGTTAGTCATCTTGGTGCATGCATAACATCATCATTACAATAATTACAAGTATTTTGTTAAACTGAAAAGTAATAATAAAATATCATCGTGAAGGCATCCATTTATCTTAATATTTGTCAAGTTCGGACAAACAAAAATAATTAGGTAGCAATATATATATATATATATATATATATATATATATATATGCATGTATATGTATGTATAAAAAAATATATTTAATTAAATTTTATATTTTTTGCTACACATGTGCATGCATTTTACTCAACTACTAATCATTGCTTTACACCTACCGTCCTTTATTAAGAACAATGCTGATGACGGCTAGTTACAAATATTTATGAAACGTTTAATACACGTGTGACAAACAAACTTATTATAATTGTTGTTTTGTTTTGAAAAAAATTTCAAAATAGTTTTTTGTTTTTTTTTTTTTTTAATTCAATTATTGTTGAAGCGAAATAAGGAAAAAAAAAAAACACTTAGAAGCTTTTAACTTTTTTTCTTTTCAAATAAATGGCTATTCATCAAATAATTTATCATTTGTTTTCTTCTTCTTATTTAATTACTATTGTCTTACCTAGATCATCATGAAATCTATCGTTTTGACCGTTCTCTGCTGTATGGCTGTTGCAGTCTCCGCTCAGCGAGGCTTTCCATCCCCTCAACGTTCATTCGAAGCTGATGCTGTGATACTCAAACAGGATTTCAATTTAAACCCTGATGGCTCATACAACTACAAGTAAGTGCTTTTTTCTAAATTTATCGCCAATTTGCGACTTACTTATGCATTGCGTGCACACAATCAAATTGATATTCATAACGGATATGAAAAGAAGGAAAAATTTTAAAGTTTATAAACATTTCTTTTTTTAAATATTAATTATGAAACTTCATTAACAATATAATCTTCCTATATATTTACTAGCTACGAGACAAGCAATGGCATACGGGCGGATGAAAGCGGTTACTTGAAAAGTCCAGGCACACAAAATGAGGCTCAGGTAAGTTTTCCTGTTATATGCTTAGTCGCACTTATTACAACCTACACCACGCAAGCTACGAGAGTATGTTGAGATTGTAGGGAGGACAGACGGACTTGCCAGAGATCGATCGATTCAGAAACTGATTCTATTCCGCTATCCATCTGTCCGTCTGTCTAAATTGTATTCTTGTGCTCAAACTACAGATCGTCATCTTAGTACATCGACGTGTTTTGATCCAGGGACGAACGCTTTCACAAATGATTCGGATCGTCCCACTTTTTCGACCACTTCGCAGATAACGTCTTGTTACCGTTAATGGCCGTAAAATGTTTTTACTTATTTCGCGGATTCAAAGTGTTTAGCAATTGTTCTTAAGACTATCATCTGAACTTTATATTGCAAAGCTCTTCTCCAATTTCCAATAAGAAGAATTAAAAAGCATATCTTAAGGGGCCTATAAAATAAATGTTTTCTTGGACTACACTAATAAAATTTCGATAAACTTGTATTCGATTCTGTTGCATTGAGTGAAATGAATCATGAAAAACAATTTGGGTATGAAAAGCTGAATCAGCTCGACTTAAAACAGTTACACGCACATTGGCATTGAAAATTGGCCAAATTGGTCAAAGCGGAAGCTCGCGGAGTAGCATTAGCTAAGCGCAACTCCGCTTTTTTTATTTTTGGGAGAGTCTGCTTGTTATTCATAAATTACAAATGTTAGAACTATTATTATGTAAAGGAATACTCGTCGTGAAAGCCCTCATATCACACAGTGTCCAAACTTCCACTGATGTGAGCCACAGGGCTTACTATTTGCGAAAACATCTATATGAAAAGGAGTCCGCATAGCAGACCCATGTACCTCAAATCTCATCCCTTAATGTCAATTTACTTTTATCACACTTTCATCATAAAATGTTAAAAGTTAAAAATTTTTGACATATAAAAGAAAATGTCTTTACGCGGCGACGTTAAAAACGTCGCTCTGATGAAATTTTCGTCATGAAATGTGAAAAGTAGAACATTTTTGCCATAGAAAGGGCGATTTTTCATGGGAATATTTATGTGCGAAGGGATTCAAGAAATAGAGTTACGTTCATATTCAATAATGTTAATTTCTAAATTAAAATATTATTATAGATCAATTTTTTCCATTAAATATAGAAAATAAATCCGAACTTTTTCCCATATGAAGATTTCGTTTCCGTAGGAATGATTTTATGAGAGCACGTTTAAAAAATGTCCTCATCCATTCCAAAATCTTGATACCAAATTATAATGCCGAAATACGATTCCACACCGGAAATTAAAATTTTGCGCATGTAAAACTTTTTCAAGGTATTGCATTATATAATGTTCGTTGTTGGTCCAATACACGTTAGTGTATCAAACCTCATCGAAATTTCTCAAAAATTGTTACCTCTAGATGAAAGACAAGAGTACATGGGCAGATATTAGACGGACAGACGGACATACAAGCTTATATCGATTCAGAATCATTTTATGAATAATAAAAGGTGGGTCCATCTTAAAGCGATTTCGCTGTCGCATATATGCGCACAAATCTAATGTACCTTGTACCCCATATGTCGTAGAACATAAATATACTGAGATTAGCTTCATTTCACTCATTCAATTAATATCTTCTTTTCTTTCAATCTATCTATAGGTTATGCAGGGTTCTTATACATATACTGGTCCTGATGGTGTTGTCTATACCATAACTTATATAGCCGATGAAAATGGTTTCCGGGCTGAAGGCGCTCATATTCCAACACCACCACCCGTGGCACCTGTTGCCGGACCGCGAGGCAGATTCTTCAAGTAAATAAATTTTCCTTAAGAAATTTAAGAAAATTTTCATCGTTTACCCCACTGTAAGAATTTGCACGCAATCATCAAAAACAAATGAGATTAAAGAACAAACAAAAAATGATACATTGTCCCATTACACAGTTTGAAAGAAAGCAAAAAAAAAAAAAACAAGCAAAAGTTGGCAGAATTAAGTAAGTTAAGCTAAAGATGAAAACAAAAAAGAAAAAAAAACAAAAAAAAAACGACAACAATTAATACAAACACACATACACAAGCAAGAATGATGGAAAATTGTAAAAAAAAAATGTAAATTTTATTTAATATTAAATTCGCTTTTTTAATTTAATACATAGAAAAAACAAAAAAAAAGAAAATTATTACCACCTTTATTCTCTCACTCTCACACTCTCGCTCACACTCTTTCGCTCTCTCTCTCTCTCTCTTACATTCATACTAAGATCAAAACTCTTTTCGCATTTCTTCTAATCATCACTTGAAAGGAAAGTCTTTGGATCTTTTGGATTTGTCTTACCGAACTTTTGTTTTTCTGGCCAAGAGCCTTTCAACACTCCCCATCGACCCTTTCTCGTTCTCTCGCTCTCTCCCTCTCCATCTCCCTCTCTTATACACTTACACACTTCCGTTGACGTTCTCCACCTACGTTTTGCGATTCTTAAATCCCGTTCTTTGTCACTCTTCAATGCTGAATTTTGTGATTTTTTTTATCTATTTTTGTGTAAATTAGTTTTTAATTTGTCATGATGATGCAAAGCTTTTGTTGTACATTTTTTCTACTCATTATTATTATTATTATAATAATAAATTAACAATTCACGTAATAATTATTTGTAAATGTCTGTGTTCTTTTTTGCTTAGTAAGTATTAAAACAAAAAAAAAAAATAAATAAAAAAAATAAAAAAGCGAAATATTACTACCTGAGACAAAAATACCAGAACTAGAAACGTAACATCAAACAGATTCTTGTGAATTACTTTTCTTTTCGTTTTTTTTTTTATATCATAGAACGTATCGCAAAAGTATTGTAAACAAAGTAAACATATGTACGTATATTAATTACAAATTATTTTTTCTTTAGATTTAATAAGTGTGGCAATTACGCAGTAAATAAATTGCGCAAAAATTTTGAAAAAAGAAAACTTTTTCTCCTAAAAGTCGTAATCTTGCTCGCAGTAACGAGTAAGGTATTTGCTCCCTTTCTTTTCAACAACTTTTAAGTACACTGTGTCACTACTCTAAGTCCGCTACCTCCTTTTTGATCATAGCTTGTCTTTCAAGTATACGAGATAAAAAGGTGAGTCACTTGGCTGATCGTACAGTCAAGGAGCGGAAGGCTGCTAATGAGTTGAAAGTTCTGGATTAGTTTTTAGGTATAACCTTTCCTTACAATGAATCCTTATGGAATACAATTATCAAACGGTGTTTGTACTCTACACCACTACTCTACACCTTCTACTGTCATAGAAGGATATACGAAGTTGAAGTGGATTTATGCTAAACCCAGCACGAGCTTAGATCGACCCACCTTTTATGATTCAGAATCTGAATTGATCTAACGTTGTCTGTCCGTCTGTGCGCCGGTCTTGTGTTCAACCTATAAGTCTCAATATTTTAGGTATTTCGTACACCGTCGTTATTTGGCCCGAAGACTAACGCTATTAGAAATGGTTCAGATTGGACCGCTTTTTCGCACACTTTCGATCGCCTTTTATTGAAAGACTGTTTTATGAATAGCTACAGGGTTGTTTGGAGTGTTTAATGATCGGCCCTGTCTCACTATGGCGCTTTCACTTGTTTTGCTATTTGCTTAGAAAGCGAAAACCTTTTTTCAAGTCAAGTTGTGTGTCATTACACACTACCTAAATTACTTACGGTCAGCTGCAGTTGTCAATTCATTCTCAAGGCTGCCGGTCACCAAAGATTTTAAACTCTTCTATAGGTACTTGAAGCCATGCTTACAAATCTGACTTACGTAACGACCTTAGAAGCAGCAAATCGGACAAAAAACATCACACATATGTAAACACAGATACCTTGTAAGAACAGTCGTGACAATTAAAATCGTCGTCCGCCATCAGTTCTATCACTTCATTGTTTACCCAAATTAGTTAGGAAATCTGAAAAATCAATCGCCGAAAGTTAGCCAAGCTTCGTTACGAACCCTTTGAGTAAAAACTTCCGAAGCCCTTTGTTAGCGATAGAACAAAATGGGAGCAGTAGAGCATGAGATAAAAAAGAATTGTCTTTCATCAAAATCTCGCGGGGCCTTGTATATATGAAGTGCATAACCACCGCCGTAGCCGTGAGCGAATTAAACGAAACAAGTAAAAACGCTATAGTGGAACACCACCTACAATTAAATTTGCTACACCACTCTACAGGTATTCATATTAAGAATTTCCAAAATAAGGTGTTATGTAAGAAGTGAAAAAGTCACCTTTTTCAATAGCCTTCTTGCTTGGGTCAAAACACACCAGTACACCAAAATCATCAAAATATCTCAAAATTTATGGCCTACAACTTAAACATGATCCTGAGTAGAGCGATATAATGGAAGGCTTGCCCACTTCAGCTATTTCTGCGTGTAGTATATACCCTCACAAACTTAATGTACCTTTGTACTATAGCCTATTCTAGCAGGCAAGCCTTGTATAATTGTAAAGCAAACCGCTGGCCCAAAGCACTTTTAACGAAATAATAAATAAAAATACGTATAGCACGATTAATTTGCATCGAAAATGTGTTATATGAAACTTTTTCATTTATTTATTTAAACTAAGATGCATTAAAAATCAAGGCAATATGTACCGTGTTATATGAAGGATGCCTGTATTCCTTAGACGATAGTTTCTCTCAATACAAATGAAGAGGTTATTAAACTTATAAATGAGATTCGATTATAGTGTGGGATCAAATCATAATTTTTATAATACGGAAGTACAATAAACAATAAATACAAAAACAATACAACAACAATAAATAGTAAAATTGATTCAAAGCTCAAGGTCAGTGTCAAATGTTTATAAAAGACTTTTTTTTCTTTGGAAGATGATGCGGACGAAAATATGTTTTTTTGTTGATTTTCAAGTTTCAATGGTATAGTGTTGAATATTTCATAAAATTGCAAACCTATTCAATTTAGTTGAATTTCGTGAACTTCATGAAACGGTCGATTCAAAGGAAACGCTCTGATTTTAGTAACACGAGAAAAATATGTGTTTAACTACGTATCTTATATGGTTCCTACTGGCCATGCAGGCTATTGCGAAAGCTCAAGACACATATCGATCAAGAAAATCGCAGAAGACATCATCAATAGGACAGAGCCGTACATTTGGTGGTCTTCTAAACCCATTTAATTTAGCATATTTAAGCTTAAATGGCATAACTCGTCCTACGTACTCGGATTACGCCGGAAGCAGTCAAACTTATCGTCCCAGTTATAATAGACCCACTAAATCTACACGCAGACCACAATTAGCAGATCCTTATTATGGTTATGGCTATCCTGAAAATTACGGGCCTTATCCGTATTATAATCATGGTGGGTATCCATTACATGGTGCATATTATCCGCCAATTTATTATGGTGGTTATCCTCCCCAATATGGAGGAAGTTTCTATCAACGACCGCCACCAATAAATCAGCCTTATCACCCGCCTACAAATGGCTATGGGCACTATCCTGCAACAAATTCAGGTTACGCCGGCCAAACGCCCGGCTTTACCAATCCTGGTGCGACAACACCTTCGACTGGGGGCTATAGTCCAGCCGTAAATAGCGCTCAAATCACACAACTTGCAAACCTATTAGGTCAACTCCTGGGACAGCAGTTGCGGCCACTTTTAAACCCTGGCGGTATTACAAGCGCTGACACCCCTAGTGCAAAAATTTAATTCGAAATGTTATTGTTGAGGAATATTTTTATCTGCCTCATGAATATTTTTTTAACTAGAATTAAGCAATCGAAGAAGAAGAAGCATTCGTTATTATCAAACAAGTTCTAACGCCATTCAATCTTAGACTTTTCGAAAGCTAATCTTAAACATATTGTAATTGTTAGGCTATGCTTATTATCTAAAAAGTGCCGGGAATTATTAAAATTAAAACATTGTGCAGTTAAGCAAACATTTATTAGAACTTCTGAAAACCAGGGGCTATTTAAGGTAATAAAATAACGAGAACACCTGATCCATGGCATGAAAACTATTTTTAAATATTATTATTATGGTTCTTCCTTTTACTTTTAATACATCAATCAGCTCACATCCATGCCATTGGCGAATTTTAATAAAGTGGACAATGATTTGGATTTTTCTTGCTGTATGAAATTTCCTCGAAATGCCTCGACAATTGCGGCCTGTAGGTTAGACATAGGAAAAAAGATGGACTGACGGACAGGCAATCTTAGATCACTTTCTGGATCGGCAGGGATAATAGACGCTGCATGCACCCACGTTTACTTAACATACCCTTACACCATAAGTAGTGTAAGCTATAAAAACAAAAAACTTACCCCTTGGAAGCTTAGCTTTAAAAAAGACTACTTCGTTCTAGATGATTATCCTTGAAAGGTGGGAAACAGTGAACTTAGCGTTTGTAGAAATCCTTACCGCGTTAACTTAAGAAAAAAAAAATGTTTGACATTTACGCAGGATTTTATACAAATATTTAAAACTTTTTGAGCAGAACGTGTGAAATGAAAAATATTCCGGACAAAGCTCAAAGAAAAACAAAACTATGCAAACAAGATGAAAGATTTAAAAGAAGAAAAGAAATTCAATATTGAAGGGAGAGTTTACTACGTCGTACTAGTTTACTACGTATACACATATATTCGGCATCTTCATAAAAGCTCATTTTAAGACTTCATGTTCTTTCATATCAGCGGTGGGCAACACGAGCAAACTTTTATTTTTAAATCACGGGCACTGCCCACAACAAATCGTATGGATTAAGGAGAAGTAAAAACTAAAAGTTTTAATAAACATTTTTATTATTATTATTACGTAACAAAATGAACACAATAAACTGATTACGGAAATTTCAATGTGATGGGTTTCGTTTCGTTTCATTTACTTCATTTGAATTCGAAAACAATATTTAAATATCAGCTAAATTGGCCAGACAGCTAGAGACTTATACCATATCTAGTACATGTGTAGAGAGCTATTTGATTGCTATCTACATTAAATTATTTAATACAAGAGAGAAACTAAATGTTCTCAATCATAATTAGGATGTAATTCGTTAGCAGCTATTTGAAGAATTGTTTCCACATTGGCAACTGTTCGCACTTTTATTTTGCACATTTGTCAATAGATATTTCAAAGTTCCGTTATTATTGTTAAGGATGGGGCATTCTGCATCAATTTTCTTTTTTTTCCCCAATCGCTCATTGATTGCTGCGCAGATGAGCCAGTAGTGAGCTGAGTGCGAGTAAATTGAATTATCTGATAATTCAAACGTAATGGGCCGGAATCAACGACATCATGGGCCGCATGTGAGAAGCACAGAAATGTATGCGCTTAAAACATGGGTTTCTACATGCGAAGTATTACTTATCAGTTACAGTCAAAGAAAAAGGAAAAAAATTTATGTTCACTTGCAGCCGATTCTTCTCTACCCACCATCTTTATATAGAAGCAGAATATACATATATTTATTGGTGCAGTTTAGCAAAAAAATAATTTGTTTCCTTTTGAAAGCCGAGATCTTCCCACTTCATTGTGGTTGTGTTCTTTGTATCCAACAGCTCGAAATGTTTTCGTCATATTTAAAACCGTGTTTCTTCAGCCGGGAGAACATGTACGACCTCCAGACTGGGATATCTAGACCCGTTTTAAATTTGATACTGAATAAGAAGATATGGATACTTCATGGGATCTCTGAAACTCCTTTTGTGGCATTTTCACAATATGAACAGACCGCCGTTCCTTTGCGTTGCCAGGCCTTTCGGGCTGACATACTCTGCATTTTCTGATAAATCTCTTGTGGCGATTATTAGCTGAGACATACTAATTGGAAAGAAAATCAAAGAGATTAAATTATTGTTTACCAGTACAAGTATTTATTACTCAATATTTAATAAAAAAAGCGAAAAAATGAAAACTTAATACACACGTAAATACATTCAACAAAATCTTTAAAAAACAAATTTAATTTCTAATATAAAGTAAAGAGAAAAAAAATAATTATTCAAAAGTTACATTATGTAACGATCAAGTGTCGGAATGGTCGCGTGTTCGATTCAAAATTTTATTCTCAATTTTCGAGTTTACTAACACACAGACCATTTTCTTTACCAATCTATTATTGTTACAAGTAACGAAGAACGCGGTCAGCAATAGACTTCCTAAACAGACAACGCAGAGAAATACGAATACACTGAGGAATATGTATATAATTCCAAATAAAACTAAATCTTGAGACGATGTGGCAACATAACATGGTCCATTCATTTCATAATACTTCGCTTTTTCCACGTATAATGGGTAAAGACCATCAGTAGGGCTAGTGTTTCGTTGCAGATATGCAGTCTCCCGGACATATTCCTCTGGCATCCCCACTGCATATGTCGAGCACTGCTCAACCGCCTGAGTAAACGTGCGAACGTACTTTGGAAACATTGCTGCACCAAAATCAAATTTTTGACAATCTTTCTCCACTAAAGGCTATAACAAAAACGATGCTCGTAAGTATTCGAAAACCATTTTATAAAATTCAAATAAATTTACATTTTTATATTTTTCGGAAAAACTTTTTCGTTTTATAAACTTTATCTACCCACAACAGCAAAATGTTTGATTTCTGTTCTTCGTTGTGATATTGAATGAGGCAAAATTTCGTAATTGTTTTTCATTCCAAACGAAATTTTTGTTCAATACTCTGAAGGGAAAAACTTTAAATTCTTTGAAAATTTTATTTTTTTGTAATATTGTAATCAGAACAAGTAAAAAACTGAACAAAACGGATGGGTATGAAATGATGCATTGCAAGGATACACGTGTAACACGTACAACCAGAGAGAACTTATAATCAATAACAAGAGCCGTCCGCTAATGCCACTGACTTCACTACTAAAATATAATGGAAAATATAACATATTTCAGGGACCTTTGATGTTTCTCTCAACGTAAAAGAAGCGATGCTGTTAACTTGCTTGCTCTTCCTCCATCTTTCTTCTCATTACCTGTGGAAGGGCATACTTTATTCTCTACCTAATCCACCAAAATTTTTTTATTTAATTTTTTTTATTCATTTAACTCATCACCCAATCAAGGAGGCTCAAGCCTTCATTTAGGTGAACAAATTACAAATAATACCTGTTTTTATTACAGCCTAAGTTATGATGCACAATATGGCAGCGAAAAAGAATAGAACACCAATTGGCTTAGCTGTCCTATCCTATTGGCGAACGGTTAAGCTTCCGATTCGGTTATTTTCCTATAAAGTTTCTTTTAACAACTTCACCGCCCTCGGCCAAGGGGAATTGGTGATACGACTAGTTAAAGTTTTTACATATGACCCGTAATAGCGAATAGTGCTCCTAATTAGTTCGACATTGAGGCTCATACGCTGAAATCAATCTCGTCTAATAGGAATGGGGATATTTTCCTTCTATCAGCTTGCGTACGAGCAAAATCTTTAGCATAATAGTAGTAATAACAAAATTACTATGAATAAGTATGCAGTTGAAATATTAAGAAACCTCCTTCAAACCTAACTGACGCAATATGAATTCCTTTTCATACCCATCACCGAAGGGTGAGCGCTGCTGTGGCACATCCATTCGATTGAAACGCTTGAAAAGGTCGGAAGGAAGCTGTAGAGATATATATCTTTGATCAGCACCAAATTAGGAATGGATTTAAGAATACCCGTCTGTCTCTTTGTCCCCATCTATGTATGTCTTTGCCTGGTCACAAAATGCAAGCAATAGGCTTGAAATTTTTTAGAAACTTCGATAGTTTATGCAGGTAGTTTGATATTTCAAATGGAACAAATCGGTCGAAGGACACGCCCACAGCACCATCTAAACTGAAAACACCTCTGTTTTTCAAATGGAATAAACATTGGTTTTTTGTTCAATACTCATAAGCTGTAGCACAAAAATTAATTTTTTTTTCAGTTCTAACGCGCAGAAACAAGCTTCAAAAACCCTATAAAGTATGTAAATTCTTGAGCAACTTCACCTAAATATTGCCGTCCATTCGTCTGTCCATCTGTCTGACTGCGCAACTGCGTAGTATTTGTGGTCAACATTCTACCGTTAGCGAAAATAAAGATATCACCTAAAAAGTTGCAACAGAATTTGAAAGTGACCTAAACTTTCAAAAGACACGCCTACAACGCCCACACGCTCATGTGTCAAAAATTTGTTTTGAAAATAGAAAAAATCAGCAGTGTCCACTCCATATTAAAGAAGATTTTGTCTCTTTTAGGATAAAGATGATGGGTATAAGAGATTCGGTCACGACCGAATATAACTGACTTACTCGTTTATATTTATTTATTAATTTAACAAATTCCGCTACAAATTATATCAATAGGCAAGTAAAAATAAAAAAAATTGAAATTTCCTTATAATACGCAATAGCAACAATAATTTGAGATACAGGCGCATATGCTAAGATGAAACAATTCGTATTCTTATGTCTGAAAAATGAAAGGAAATGTTCCAACAAAGCGGACGAATGAATCTGTTGCCATTTTGACAGATCAACTATCACGTCCACCCGCTTACCATTGAAGTCCGCATATTTGGTGTGCCCATACCGCTTAGAGAGTCGACAGACGATAGAACGGTTGCTGCCAAGTTCAGACATTTGGGAAGTAAGCAGTCCATTATCCCGGAATCATTCTCGTCACTATTCATTTTAATTGCAAGAATAAACGCAAATGTACAGTGTATATATATTTATATTTGTATGAGTTTGTAAAGTCTTGCTTTCTACCAGCTGAGGGCAAATTTATTGCTTTTAACTAGCTAGCGCTCCGATTAAACACGAAACAAGCGCAAATGCCGAAATGCAGTTTCACTACAGCGAAAAAGCAGGCAGGCAGCACTAGAGTCGCCAACCACTTTGGGAAAGAATGGTGGATATAAAGGATTCGATTGCAATCTTCTACGATATTCTTACTTGTTCTTTTTTCCATTAGTGCACATACAGTTTTGTTCTAGAAACCGCAAACCTTAACGTTAAAGTTAATTTCGTCATTTCCATACAACTACGAGCAGTTATGATACTTTTCTAAAACCTTGTTTATTTTTATGTCTTTCACTTTTCGCTATCTTATTTTGATACCGCGAGTGTTTGAAATTTGCTTTCCTTATACGACCTCTCTCTGCTTAATCCTCAATTAATAATTACTTTTAATATATTTTGTTAAAATAAGTATTCAGAATATTAAAATAATCTGAGAAACGAGTAGTTATGTAGAAAATCAAGAGAAAAGAATATTTCAAAATTTTTTTTAGTTTTTATATCCAGCTCCGAGTTCGCCGTCTTGACATCCACTTTCTCTTTCGGACCACTCTCCGCTTCATACAAAAACGCTTGTTGATTTCCGTAGTCCCAACAGTAACTCTCACATGGTAACCATTTCTTAGGGTCACGCAACCCGGCTCATTGTCAAGGAGAGCCAGTTTCGAAGCTGTATATACCACAAACATAGAGGTACCATCGGATGCCCAAAACTCTACACTTTCCATAAAATAATTTATACTTAAGTGTCGCAGTTCCTCTCGTGCCATATGTAACCGTAGTTGAGGTACCATTTGCTTACATTTTTCAAGTGCACGGGTTGTATGAGGTACTTTTTCGACTCTCTTTCTATTGTGTTGGCGGTAAATGTCGATCACAAGCAGCAAAATTGACGCTAAAGCCATAAGGCCGAAAAGCGCGATTACAGCAGACTCGAAGAGAAAATTTATGGCGGATGCAATAGCATAGTAGGTTGTGTTCTTTACATAATAGCCTACAAAGTCCCAGAATAAAGGAACACAATCGCACAGATCTAAACTTTGTGGATGTACTAATTCATTTGGCAATAGAAGGCTATAAGCGTTTATTTCCGGGCGGTAAGTTTCCAACGCGTCGCCTGAATGCTCAATGTCTACTAATTTGCGACAGTGTTTGAGAGCGTGATAGAGCCAAGCATTGCATACTCGTTGGCCGACTTCCGATGGCTGGCAAAATTGTTCCATATAAACGCTGCGGAGCTATAACAACAACCAAAGGGTTCAAAGATATTATACCATCTCGAAGGGAGCAAACTTACATTCTTGCGATTCGTATGATATATATACAGGATTTTCAATCTCTTGTTGATTTGAAAACGTTTCCTTCATAAAGTTATAAAAGCTATTTTCAAACATTTTTGACTTAAAAAACTTTAATATTTTCGAGTTTATTTCAAAACTTTTCATTTTCTAACCCTAAAACAGTAATCAAATCCAAAAAGACTATGAAGAAAATAACTAAAAAAATTAATTTATGTACATTTCATTATCGGCCACGGTCCTGAAACTTGCAAAAATGATAACACAAAGTGATTTGGATAGTGGAACTCTTTACGTGGTTCCAAAGCAGCAGTTGAGCTCACAGCTTAAAATTGTTCAAAGCCCTTACATGCTTAAGCATGGACATCTCGTTCCAATTCCATTCTTCATAAAATCTCAGACCTAAATGGAGGACGCTATCAGAGGGAACTAAAAATAAGAGTTACCTTTATTTTTGAAATAGCGGTTGGAGTGCTTATCCTTTCATTGCAAAAATTCTGATTTGGGCGGTGCCTCAAGGGTGGTAGTGAAAATTGTTTGCAACACAACAAACACATATGCATTTTGGGATACATGCGTATGTTAACTTTGTGCGGATGTATACAATACCCAGAAGGATTCGAGACAGATTCACTTTTTATTGTATCCACCGATTTGAAAACACTTTCTGAATCGATCTAAGCATGTTTTCCTAACTGCCCCACCGCGTCTTCTTTTTCAACCTACACGTCCCGAAATTTTGAGATATTTTGATGACATATTTCGGCTTAAAGACGGACCCTATATAAGCTGCGGCATGGATTTTAGGACTTTGTTCTACCAACAATCTGTAGAAAATAATGAACATCGATTGCTGTGTGAACCGTAGTTAGTTAATCGTTACAAAGAAAGGCAATGGTTTGTCTCTTTCCCTAATCCTCTTGGGGCTTATCTTATGGGGATTTGATATAGAATTTTTTTGTTTTCTTTGTGGTACACTTGTTGATATATTTGAGAATTTTCATTAACTCGATCTTCAATTGACAAACGAGGAGTAGAACAAATAAAAAGGATAATTACAAAGCCAATATCACTCAACAGCAAGTATGTAGAAAATGCAAAAACTTTTTCAAAACACATTTTTTTATTGCATTTATGATAAATATTTTTTTATCATTGGGGATTTATTTACCCCACCCATGACTAGATGCTGAAGCTGTGGCAGTAGCTCCAGAATTACCACAACCCCCGGGACAACCGCCGCCACCGCCGCCAGGACGAAAACCACCGCCACCACCGTAACCAGGACGATAACCCCCACCACCACCATATCCGGGACGGTAACCGCCCCCGCCTCCATATCCAGGTCGAAAGCCGCCCCCGCCACCATATCCAGGTCGAAAGCCGCCCCCACCACCATATCCAGGGCGATAACCACCACCATACCCAGGACGATAACCGCCACCGCCTCCACCACCTCCGCAGGGATTATATCCACAGCCACCGCCAAATTTCAACGCACGCGTATTACGTGTATGTTCTTTTTCAAGTCCGCCATTCTCGCTCACCGGCAATGGATCCAGCAGAGTCTCATCTAATTCTGTTGGCATGGCGCGGCCTTTATCCGCAAAGACAACCATCGCCATCAAAATAAAAATAATCGGTAATCTCATTTTTTTAAAGCGTATGTTTCACTGATACACGACGCGAAAGATTAAACGTCTCTAAATTGCCGCCTATCGTAGGAAAGGTATTTATACCTTAAGGTTATGTAACAAAAAAAAAAATAATGCTTAATAATCCAATTTATGAATCGAGAGAGGTAATGCAAATATTAATTTCGACGCATAAAATTGATGGTTGAATGATGTAAGCACTAAATAATAAATAACAAATTTGTAATGATTAATTATATACTCCGTCGTGAATAAGAATATCATTTTTTTTTTTTTTAATATTTTTTTTTTAATGGGGGAATGTCCCGTAAATTAGTTTGTAATGAAATTATATGAAAAATATTTTTGCATTGGCATAGATACGTCATAATACGATACGGAACTAATATTTAAGCATTAAAGGTAAAAAACTTTTAAATTAATTTTACAGTTGGTGTGCCTGTAAGGCACTTTCGTCAGCTTAACCAAAGAATACGTTTCAAGATTTAAGAAATCCAAGAATATGCAAATAAACGGAAAGAGAAAAACTACGTTTTGACGTTAATCAACCATTCTAATGCCTGCAAATGTATGCGTTTATCTATTTTTTTTTTACTTTTTTTTATTTTATCGTTCTTATACCCATCACTGTAAAATTTTGTTTTTTCCCAACCAGTTAAAATCAAACTTCAGAGACTCTATGTGGTCTAGATATTCTTAGTCAGCGTGCAATTCCGAATTGATTTAGCTACGCCTGTCCATCTGTGTTACTGAGTGTCTGTGTGCTTTTTGTTGTAAGTACTTTCCTGGTCGCAAAAATTAAGATGTAGACTTCAAATTTGGCAGAAACGTTGGTAGTCTATGCACGCAAATTGGTATTGAAGATGGGTCAAATTGGTCAAAGCAAAACCGCACAGCAGAGCGGAAACTCAACACAACTCCATTTTTCTTACCGAAAATTTGTGAATCTTTCTCGTTATCCAGAAATTATGAAAGTTGGATGGGTGAAATTTTCCACATTTACTTTGCAAAACACTCTACCTTTACTTGCAGATGTGGGGAAAATCGGCGATAACCCCCCCCAGAGTTACAAACGATTAAATTATCTTGTTTTCACTTTTTTAAGGTTTTATGCGTATTTATCATAAGGCAAATAAAGCAGAATGTTTAAAACTATCTTGTACATTCCTCAAATGAAGATGTACTGCGAGGTCGTTTCGACCTATTCCCTAAGGGTGAGGCAGCTCAGTGGCCCAGGGAAGGAGACACAAGAAATTTATATTCACAAAGACTCTTCATTTATTCCATAATTATTTCTTCACTTTATTTTGTAATTAACTTAATTAAAACTTCCTGTCTATACCCAACTTCGCTGCTCGAGAATCCACTGTCGACTCTCAAACACGACTCATTTAACTAAAACTAAAACTAGCCTATTCTACCCTATTCTATTCTTACGCTATTCCTATCCTATCTTATTCTATTCTTATTCTATTCCTTTCCTATCTTAATCTATTCTTATTCTATTCCTATCCCATCTTAACTTAGCACTCCCTTCACCTCATCAGAGACGGAGAATCCGTGCGGCCGAAACAAGGGACGACTTTGGGTCCTCACAGTACATATTATCTGCCTAAAAATGGTTTATTTGTAAAATGAATATGACAGACACCGCGGTCTGGTCGATTATTTTTTTCTTTAAAATGCCAACGATATGGATACAACATAAAATAATTTGGTGGGTAGAATGCGAAAAGCATAGCGGTGAGTATGCGAGATTCGTCCGGGCTGAATATAACTTTTTTACTTGTAAAATTATATTTCCGATTGAAGATGTTAGGAGTTTTAATCGACGAAAGTATCACACCGATCATTAGTCGTGTTATTGTCTGTTACTTCACGATCTGTACAGATAATAGGTCCACCGGAAAGTTCTGTCCACTCCAATTATTTTGCTTTCTTTTTTTATCGCTGAATGTATACATATCGACCTAACAAATGAACTAAAATGAAGATCGTTCAAGTAAGTGAGATGCGGGCGTGTATGTGTGGCTAGTGAAATGAAACTGTTTGGTGAAAGTGCATGCAGAACATGCAGAGCATGCAGAAGATGGAAAAATTTCATGTACGTGGTTTCGACCTTTCTGATAAGTCATGCTCAGGGCGACCATCTTTGCTCAACTACATCATCAGGATCACGTTAGAACAAAATGACTTTTTGACAACATCGGAGATTGCTAAAAAGCTTGATTCAGCTCGGTAAGCCATTTCAGATCAAATCTGGAAACCAAGATTCCAAAAACGTACAAAACTTCCCAGTGGATTACGCGATAAAAAATGTCGCGATGACTTTGGGTAATAATAACGTGCTTGTGGAAGGTTACGAAGCAAAATATTTGCAGAAGGCAAAGTCAATAGAGAGATTCGAGTCAAAAGAGTTGAATTGCAATATTCGAACATAGAAGACCATAAAGAGAATTAAAACGTTGTATACGTAAGTTCCGGTAAATAATTTCCAATAGACCTCCTAAGAAGTGTAGATGAAGCCTATACCACCCCAAGAATCACAAATTCGGGCTCTACGAATCTCATTTCAAAGGGGATTGAATAAATAAGTAAAATCATAAAAAACGTTTTACGTTACAATGTACTAAAATTTTCGCGGTCATGGCCAGGAGCGTAACGGCTCGTCGTGTCCTCATTCTCACCGACAATCTGTTGGGTTTATTAGGTAAATTATCTATTTCTAGTAGTGTTTACTTTCTTGCCTTCTCTCAAGTATAAAAACAATTAAAAAAGCTTACGTGTACGAGTCGGCGAACTTTTTCCGCCACGAGTCAAAATCAACCAAAACGTGAGTATTAAAGAGAGGGTCAAAAAGTGTC